AAGCATACAGCTTATTGCTCCAGTAATACTACATTCTACTAAAATATGTATTTACTAAAATAGTGTACTGTAAATTATTTGTTTGGTGTTGTCTTTTATTCTCTTGTATACAGACTTCAAACCATAGAATTACACAGTGAAAGGATTAAAAGATTGCTACTGTCACAAATCTTATTTTAAAAGAAGAAACCTAACTTATTTTTCAGTACTCTGTTTGGAATATAAAGACAGGATATTTTGTCTATTTTTAAGAACCATGTTGCATCAGGTCAAATTTTTTTGTAGTGTGTGCATCTTCATAAGCAACATTTTTTGGAGAGTACTTTTTGTTGCTGAAGAATGAGAAACTAGAAAAACAGATCTGTGAGCTAAGGAAAAGGGGAGCAGAATTACCAGTGAGCAGAAATGTTTGCATTCCTTCTTGCAAGTTAGGCAAAAAAGCGTGTTGAAAGCAGAGGGTAAGTCTTTATTTAAAAATACATTGATCTAATGATGAGAAAGCTTGCTATTGTAGAACTCATAGAGCAACTCACAGTAAAATAATGCCATTAGTAATTTTTTTTTTTAAGGAGAATTATGGAGTGTGTACTTAAATTTTCTCCAAGTTGTTCAAATATAGTGGACGCATAGCGTGCTAGCTTTCTTCCATTCCAGAAAATAAGCTTAAAACTTTTTTTCTTCACCAGGTGCTTTGGTCTTAGGGTGGAACTTACTGTGTTATCAGATTCCCTATTTATGCAGTATTAATGCTGTTGCAATCAAAAAAAAAAACTATTGAATTCTCCAGAGTTTTCTGGTGTCAAGTCATAATAGTGCTCAGAATTGACTCTCAAGTACTAACTGTTCTTTTTAAGTGCATTAAAGACAACTATATAACAGTAATCACCATTCCACTGTGGTGATGAAGCGCAATGTCAAAGAAGGGTACATGGTTTCTGGATAGGAACAAAATTTATCCTTTTAGTTTTTGTAGGTCTTCTATGCTTTTGTTGTATTATTATGATTTTTTTACTATTTTGAAACTACTGGAGAAGCCATGTGTGTCAGTTTTCAGTCTGTCACAGGCTTCAGGTTCTACTAGGATGCTGAAGAATTTGAAGAATGTACTCTCTATTCTTTGACTTAACCAAGTTCAAAACATTATTCAATCAAGCACTGTAATAATTCTTTTGCCTATTACATTATTAAATAGCTCAGATTATTCTATCAATGTATGGAAGATTAACTCCAAACAAAACTGTGGGGCCCAGGGAAAAGGGTACTTTCATAATGAAGCTTTCTAAACCTAACATCATAGGTTACAGTTATGTCTGTAATCCTGAAAATAAAATTGATGTTGTCTTTAAAATAGGTAACTTCTGCATTTGCAATCTTACAATCTTTGTAAGGTGTTAAATTCCAATTGTAAATTCCAGATTACAAAACAGTTTTCTAGGAGGGCTCTAGTAAGTGGTGAATAAAGGGGGAGATAATCAGTTCCTTCAATTTACTGACTCTCCTTCTGTTAATAAAGCCCGGGTGTCTATTGGTCTTCTCCACTGCCATATTACAGTGCTGGCTCACGGTCAGCTTGCTGCCTAGCCAGGGCCCCCAGGTTTTTTCAAGGGAGCTGCCTGGTCGTGGGCCTAAGCAACATGCTCTGGGTTTCCCTGCTGGAACAGAGACTGGATCAGATGACCTTCAAGTGTCCCTTGCAACCTCAAACATTCAGTGAAGTTGAGCATTAGAGCAGAGCAATGCTATTATTCATTGAATTGATTGAAATACATCCACAATGTACTTGTCAATTGAAAGCAGTGAGATGGAAGACAAGAATTAGAAAACTTGTAAAACAAGCATTCTGCAGCATTACAAATTGCATAGTGTAACTACAGTTATTAAATTCTAGACAGTATGTGTAATAAAAAGTAATTTAAAACTCTGACTTCAGGAGTGTCTAGTATTTTTATTACAGCATACCTAAAAGTAATCTATTTGATCTGTGAATACTATGTAAATGTGAACTCCTTGTTTGTCAACAATCCTTAATATAGATAGAGTTCATTTTAAAGTTGCCTTACCTCTCCTAGAAAATGCTTTGTTCTTCACATTTTTAAGTTATTTTCAGTCCAGGACAATCTCTTACCCAAGAATATCAAATTGCTTAAATATTCAGAAATTAAAATATGTATTTGAATGTCTTATTTCATGTTTTTCCTTATAAAAAAAATTAATACCTAATATACATACTGTAGGAATGTGCTTCACTTTTAAAAATGTATTACCATTGACTAATTATCAAAATGCTGTAATGCAGAATCCATAGAAGTGAGGATTTGGTTTCAGGCTGATAGCCTGGAGTTAGTTCAAATACAGCACCTCTAAGGAACTTTAGTACGCACTTGTCAAATCTAGACAAGAAACAGGACCAATCAGTAATCTTTTAGGCTGTAAAAAAAAGCTAAATACAATAAATTACTGTTTGTAAATATACCATCTTGGTTACAACAGCACCTTCAGT